CATATTTATAAAAATGTAGTTAAATAAGAAAATACTTTTGGCATGGTTAAAGGTACTTATATATTCAATGTGATGTTAATATTGGTACAATAAAGACAGCATGTCAATTCTTTAATCTTTCCAAAAGTGTAATTTGCATGTTTAAATAACATTTTTTCATTTCATATGCAACTATAAATTAAACTGAAAGAGCTTAGGCAGAAAGTTTCCTAGCATACAATTAAGTGATATAAATTAAATTCTTTTAAAGCAACAGTATTTATTACTTTCTCCCTGGGTAGATTGTAGGATGATGGATAGATTCAAACATTCATAAAATTTATTTCATTGGTAAGACAGATTTTAAACTTTGGTTAAACTCTATTAAACAGTGATCAAAGATGAAAGCCAAAAAACAACTATTCTAGTAGAAGCCAAAACCTTAAAATGTTTGACTATATTTTCCTGGAAGAAAAATAAATTCCCATTTTAGAAAACATGTTCAGTTCATTTCACCCAACACCTACTGAGCGCTGTTGGGGATTGGGAGGTGTATCAGTAAGGAAGATGTCATCTCTAAAGCCACTGCAGTAGCACTGGTGAGACTCAGTTAGTTTGAACCAGAGCTCTGACTACATGAGGGGGTATCCAGATGAAAGACTTGTGTATCAGGACGATGGGTGGCTGGACATGTGGACTGAGGACACAAGAAACATTTACAAAGAAGTAAGATATTTATTTAACTTTGACAATGAATGAAAATACTTCTTAAAAAGACAGAAAGTAGGAGAAGGGAAAGATTTGGGGAACATGAGAAAGTTCAGTTCACTGTTGAACCTTTTGAATTGAAAGCATCTATATGATATTCATGTAGAAGTTAATAGAAAATATCTCTAGGTCCTTGTGAAGGTTATTATTAAAAAAGAACTGTTGGTTTCTTCTTGAAATTCTGGATGATAGGTTATGTGATGTTAACAGCTACCCCTAACCCTTGGAACACAGTTACATCTCAGAACTTAGTACATAACTGCATTTTATCTTATATCACATTCTAATGTTCTAAATCACTCTTGTCTTAACCTGCGATTGTAAAACTTCGGGCTGAAATGAGGTTTTATGCTTCTCTAACAGGCTCAGTGGTGCTGTTGAAGTCCTCATGGCCTCAGGTGATTACAGCCACCACAGAGTCTTAGGAGAATTCATTTCTCCTTGTGTAGTTGGTGATGCTACAATAGTAAGTGTACTGAAGTATTGCTGTCATTCATGCATGCATGCATGCATTCATTCATTCATTCATGCTGTGTGCAAAGTACTTGTTTTCAACTGGATTAAAGCAGGGGTATTGCCTTTTTACTACAAATAGATACAACAATAAAATCTTATAAAATCTTTTATTCCTTTTTCAGAGATTTGTCAGTTATTTTATATGTAAAGATAACTTTTAAGCTTTGGAAACTTTAAGATCACTTGGAAAGGGAAGTGGAAAGGGAAAGGGAAGTTAACCAAAATAAAGAAAGTGGTTATGGAGAACAAGTGTGAAGTCCCTTACAGTGTGATCATGTATTGATCTCTGCTAGATGGAAATCTTGCCAGACCTAAATCTGTCAGGTCCCACAGCTTTTCTTTACTGCCGTTTTGCCTGATCTTCCTTTGTTGCCATGTGTACTTAGCAATATGGCATGCTAGTGAATATGGGGATTAAGAGCAAGGTCTGAAGCCACGCGGTTTGCAGACCCTGCCACTTAGTGTCTGCGCAAATATGGATTTAAGTGTGCCTTCACTAAGTCTGTTTTTCCCCTTTCAATGGGGATAAGGGAGCAGTTAACTGGCTTATAAGGATGTCACATGAAAGGGTAAGTGCTTAGCACAGTGCCTGGCACATGGTATATATGCCATGAATGTCCGCAATAATATTGATGAGTTATGAGCCCTGATGAGTCTCATCTTCCTTAAAGTGTTGCATGAGATTCAACTAAGATAAATTACTTTAAAGACAGTTGAATAACATTTATTTTTAAAATTTTTATTAATCCTAAATATCACATGTTCATTCACTGTTTTTGTCTTTAGCTTTTAATTTTTGTTATACATTTATTTGCCTTGCAATTTTTTCATAATATAACATGTATATATGACTTCTGTTTTTCCTTGTACATTGGTCTCTGATGTAAAAAGAAAATAACTTCCCTGCTTCTTGCCTAACTAACTTGTCTTGTAAAACCGTCTTATACCTATTAGACATGTCTGTGACATAGGTTACACAGAAAGTAAGACTGTAAAGGCCAGTAAAGCATATAACAAAGCAGAGCAGCAACTTCCACTAGAGGGCAATGTTGGCAAAATAATTACATCACATAATACTCCGGTTCAGGGGGCAGCTGATTTTTAAGTTTTCCCTGTGCTTCAGACAAAAAAATATATATATAAGAATTAACTAAATTTAAGTAACACCATGGTTTCTGTTTTACTAGTTGTCAGTCTCAAACAGTATACAAATACCCAGGGAAGTACTCTAAGGACTACAACACCATTGCCATAGCCACAGAACTTTCTCAATTCTTGTTTCAGAGATAGAAAACAAGACCGTCAACACTTCTATTTCTCTCTGCATCTTTGAAAAATAACCAAGTTGTGCCAATTACAGGCTGAATCACTTGAAAAACGAACAAACCAAGAAATACAACAGCTGTGTTTCCATAATTCAAAAGTATTTTATTCATCACGAAGTTCTGGATTGAGTAAACTGTTGTTAGCCCTAATGAGAAACTATTGGACTGAATCAGAAGATTTTCCTTTTTTAAAAAAAAATCAAGCATTGTTGAAAAGATAGTATTATAATTTAGGTGTACAAATTTCTAAAATTAATGGTGGGCTTATAATGAGAAGCAAATTAACAACATTTAATTCAGGTTGGATTGGAATTTTTTAAAGTATTTTCAGAAGGATACTTAAGTTGATTTGAACCTTTATTTTCCAACAGAAACATCACATTTCTTTCTGTTGGCAACATTGTCCAATAAATGACTATTATAAAGGTCCCTCTGCAAACTGAGATTTAATACTCTTATTCTATCACACTCGGAGAAATTGCTGCCCGGGGATGTTGAGACTGCTCTTAAACCTGGGAGCCTCTCTTAATAGTTGACTGCGTTTTCCCCCCTGTATCATGCCTAAATATTTTGATGTGGATTTTATTACTTTTGGCTACGTAAGTTCAGTTTGTAAACTGTCCAAAAAACTTTATATAGTATATAAAAATATATCTTAAATTCATTATAGTAATTTTATCATCCTACTTTATATTTCATTGATTCAAAAAATAGAAATTATGCATCTCTGAATTTCTTCTTATCAATGAATTTGGTACACATGAAGACCACCAACTTGAGATACTAGCCTTAAAAAAGCGTGCGCTTAAAAATGTAACTTTTACTTAAAATTCTGTAGGCAATCATCAGTTATCTTACTTTCTATTTTATTCAGGTAGCATCATTATTCTTTCTGCATAAGTGGATTTTTATAATTTCATAGCTATGAGGATCAGCAATCTGACAGAAGACTTCACAGCATATCGTAATTTTTTTTTTGTAAAACCAAAGTTGTTCCCTAGATTGCATCATCTTTTTGTAAGATGAATATTTTCTATAGCTCAGTTAACCACTAGATGTTTTTGTTATTATTTTTACTTTTTAAAAAATAATTTTCAATAAATGAGCTTACTTGGACCTCTCTATCCAGAGTCTTTTTGAACTACTCTAGACAAATTGGAATGACTTTTTTAACCTGCATAAATAAATTATTATTCCTTGAAAATGACTATAGAAAAATAAGATTGAGCAAATCTATCAGTGTACCACGTATTCTATCAGAATAGGCAGAGTTATGCAGTAATAATAAGCCTAAATATTCAGTGACTGCTGACAATGAAGTTTTCTTTTCATTCTATGTCCGTTGTAGCCAGACAATACTTCTGCCTTTGTTCTGGTCATTCAGACTATTGTTGTGGTAGGTTCTGTCTTCACATAGGCTACAAAGCTAGGAAAAGTTCTTCTAATACTCTTAAACTTCTGCTTTAAAATGGTGTAGTTCATCTAGTCAAGATGTGGCCACTCCTGAGTCTGATTAGCTTTAAAGCTGTTACACTGACAGTGCCTGGTACACATGTGTACACCCACATACAAGTATAGGTGGTCCAGATGAGAAACTGTCTTAGTAACATTTGTACCACTGAGATTGTTGTTAGTGCTCCATAGGCAGTGAGAATAAAAGGTAACACTATTGCAAGGACTGACTTCTTTAAAATGAACAGTTGTAGGTCAGAAAGGACAGTTTAAAAGTTTATTAACTATATTATTGTTCAGATTTTTAAATTTTTGGGAAGAGCTCTTAGAACAAAAAAGGCCAAATTTTAGTTTGACACTTAAATATATCATGGATAAAACATTAAAACTAGGTGCTACAAGTAGGTAATAGTTTAAATAACAAATATAAATGGAACTAATTTGAGATATTGCCACAATTCACACAAAAATGAAAATATGTAATTTGCCATAAAAATTGTTTATTAAATTCTCATATAGATTGACTATCAACTATTTAATTATTGCTAATTTTCTCTTTCTGTCCTGACTTTTTAGGTGTTACTGATTTTCCCAAAATATTTTGTGAAACTTCTCAGAGCCTAGTGAATGTGGAAGCCTTTGCTCTGGTTGCAAAATACTATTCTGTCCAAAACTTGGGAATCTGTACTTCTTTAGAACAGTTACTTATAGCTCTTCGAGGAAATAAAAAACAGAGAACTGGTATGTTCATTCGTGCCTGTAAGTATATATGCCTTTTAGATACTTTGAAGCAGTATATTATTCATATATACATATCTTTCCAATGAAATTCATTATTAGACCTTATAGACCCTGATAAATTAGCTTTTATCTAGAAGAGTAGGTTTTCTCTTATAGTAAACAAAACAATTTATAGATTTTTGCATTTTTTCCCACTTTGACCTCTGGCTGTCTTCAGGTAGTTGCTGCTCCTCAAGTAAGACTCCAGAGAGCTAATTCAAATTCTCAAATCCTTGCATTTATTTTGTTGTGATGGGCTGATGTTCTCTATGGCTAATAAAAAAGAGGATAGGGTTTTAGGGAAATATGGGGAAGAAACATGAGTCAAAAAGTATGGAAGGCATAAATTAAAACAAAAGATAAAATAGATTAAAATTCTGCTCCATGAATAATTACATTAATTGTAAAAAGACTATGCATCCATTAAAGGACTGAGATCAGAAGACTGGTTTTTAAAAAAAGGTAGTCCTCAATAGTGAGATAGAAACTGCTTTAATAATAATAATAATTGTTATGTTTATAATAAAATAATGAACCTCATTTCTTTATTGTCCATGAAGCTCCATTATCTCACTCAGTCCTCATTTCCTCACCTTTTTATTTTGAAAAGGTCAGAACCTACAGAAAAGTGTCAAGATAGTACAATGAACCCTGTATATTTTTCTCCATTCACCATTTGTTCACTGTTTGTTAAAACTTTGTCACATTTGTGGTGGCTCTCTTTTACATACACACTCACACACACTTTATCTGAATCCTGTAACACTTTGCCCTCAGATATTTTAGCATTTATCTCCCAAGAACAAGGACACTTTACTACATATTTCCCAGCCCATTTGCACATTCTGAATTTTAATACTGCTACAATAATACTATCTAATAAGCTATCTAAATTCAAGTATCTAAGTTGTAAAAAAATATTTTATAGCCATTTTTCCGTAGTATAGGAGTCTGTCTGGGCTCATGCATGACATTTATTTATAATGTTTAATCTCTTCAATTTGGAGTAGTGCCTCAGCCCCTCTTTTTTTTTTCCTGACACTGATACTTTAATGCATATAGGTCAAGTTTCTTTCTTTCCCCGATTAACATTTTAGTTATACATTTTGACAGAATTATTACTTAATTCCTTTTTCATGTATCACACTAGAAGGCACATATCATTTTGTCCCATTATTAGTGATAGTAATCACTTAGTAAAAGTAGATCCATTAGAGTTCCCTATTGTAAAGGGAACTTTCCCCTTTGAGTCCAATGCTTTTAATTTTATTTTTATTTTCTTTTTTCTCTAAATTTTTTAAGTGAAATTTTTTCACGGTATTTTTCCTGGAGCAATACAAAGAGCTATTTGGTAAATCATGGTTTTTTTCTCCAAATGAGTTTGCCAGCAAATGGCTATAGTCCATTGGCACCTAAAGCACTAAGAATTTATCCCAGCTGTTGTTGACTACCATTGACTGAATGGACCTCTGCATCAAGGATAACACTCATGTCCCTTTCCCTAGTTTATAAAGTGTTAGGACTACAGTTTGAGCATCGAGGTAAATAAGAATGCATCCTTGGCTGAAATAAGCAGTAATATTAACAGTTGAGGTGTGAATGGATTCTATCTTATGCCCAGCATAAGACAGAGTTGATTTAGGCAAGTAGCAGTGCATGCTGGTGATAGGTGAGGGTGAAAGGAGTGTATTCCTCATCCTGGAATACACATCTTATTTGTTTGCTTATTTGTTAGTAGAATGAGATTGTTTCTATTGTGAAATCTAAACTGCTCAAAGAACATGTACTAAAATGCCCTTGGTATGTTACCAAGAAGGTGCTTGTTGATATCTGTAAAACCCTGAGGAATAGCCATTTATACCTGGGAGGAACTTGTCAAAAAGGTTCTCATTGTTTTGCAACACAGTATTCTAGGTTAAGATAGTAGCCAGGCATTCTCAGATGTGAACTCTGTCGTGCTGAAATGACCGTACCAGTCGTGTGTTTGATTTTACCACATTGGCCAACTCTTGTATGTCTGATGGTCTTGACTACCTTGTCACATGCTCTGACCATATTAACATGCTTTATAATTTGACATATATAGCATACACTCTAAAGTGCTGTCCTGAAGAATATTCTTCAGTGTTAGAAATTTTGTACTTGTGCCTCTTAGTACAACAGAAACTAGTCATATGTGACTCTTGAGCACTGCAGGTGTGACTGGGGCAGCTCAGAAACTTACTTTGAAATTTTGTTTGAGTGATTTTTCACTGTAAATTGAAATAATAACGTGTTTAGTAGCTACTGTATTGGACACTACAGGTTGTGAAATGACTGTTCAAAGTTTTGCCTGTTTTCCTGTTTGTGTAATCTTTTTCTTACTGATTTATAAGTGTTTGTTTTGTACTTGTAGCCCTATGTTTTGGAACTATCTTTTCCGACATTGTGGGTTGCCTTGTCACTCTGTTAAAATTGTCTTTTGATGAGAAAGTTTCTTTTGTAGTACAATTTAATCAGTCTTTTTATTTATAATTATTTGCTTGTTGTGTCCAGGAACATTTTTAGTAAGTCTTTGGATCTTATTAATTTAAATTTGATTCAGAGCATCTGAACTAACAGATCTTTCACTGAGACACAAGAGTCTTTATATTATTTTCAGATTTAATTTTAAAAACATGAACATTAACTGATAATTTTTTTTAATGAGCATTAACCGATAACCTGGCTTTGATAAAATTACATTTTACCTTAATAGCAGTAATTTTGGGGCTTTTTTTTTCCATTCAGGTGAAAATCTGAAGCCAAATGAGTTTATGAATGTGAAAAAATCTCATGAAGTTCAGGCAATGTCAGACCTAATCTGCAGTATTGCTGATTACTGTGGAATAAAACAAGTAAGTGTATTTCCCTATGTTTTTAGGTGTTAAAAATATTGCACCTCCCCCCCAGGGCCTGAGGATTTAGCTCAGTGTTTTCACCACCTGCCTCGCAAGTGCAAGGTCCCAAATTTGATCCCCAGTACTAAAAAAACAGACAAAAAAAGCCCCTTTTTTGATATCATTAATTTCTTTTTTATGCTATTATAGCATCGTTAAAATACCAGATCTTTCAATATATGTTCTAATAACTCCCAGGTTATTGTTATTGTTATGCTGTGTAATTATAGTGCATTTATAGTAAAAACATGATATAACTATTAATGTTCTGCCACAAATTTCACTTTTCTGAATGGATACAAGTTAAGGATAATTCACTTTGACAAGTTGTAACTCCATCTTGAGGCAGAATGATGAGGATGATTTTCTCCAAAATTGTTTGCTGCCAGGTGCTCTCAGAATCTGAGTTGCCAATCTGTGGTCTGGGACACTTTCCTTATCATAACAAAACAAAGGGGTTATATTTTTAGAATTTAGGTTCTTTCATAGTGTCTAAAAATAGTCTTTCTCTTATCCCTCCAAAAAGCTCTGTGGAGGTAACGGAGGACTTTTCTTTTTCCTCCTTTAATTTTTATTAGGTATTAGAGTTTTTCCCATGGATTTACAGACTCATGAATTTGAAAATTAGAAAGCTATTTTAGCTTGGGCTAGGCACAAAGAGCCACTTGTCACAGCCTAGACCTCTGGGTTAGGGGCTAGGGGAAGAACCTAACCTTTTCTTCACTGTGCCAGGCCTAAGTAATACCTATCAGTATCAGTAATTAATTTACCTTGACAATGGTTCTTAGTTTCAGGAGCAAGGACAGGTACACCCTTTTCCTAAGTCTCTCCCCTCTGATGCCTCATCTGAATCCAGGGGGCACGTGCTCTTTCTAAATATGCCTTCAGTGTCTACCAGTATCCACTAAGGGTAATAATAAGAATGGACTGCAGAGGAGGAAGTGGGTAGTTCAGTTAACATTGAAAGGAGCATAACAAGGTTAGACATATAAGGCATCAGTTAATAATAGGAGGACCAGTAGAGAGAACAAAGCCCTGAAGATAGAAAATTCAGATAACTGGCCTTAAGGTAAGCCAAAGGAAGACTGTTCATGTAGGGTAGATATTTAGGTGCAGAGCAGGAGAGTGAGATAAAGGTCCATCCTTTGGGGGAAAAGTAATCTGAATGAAGTAGAACAACAAAATCCCAAAGAACTGGTCTCACATTCTTTGTAGAAAAAAAGGCAAAACCCTAATCATTTAATTTGGGGCTACAAAGCAAAGCAGAGGAAATAGAGAAGTAGCAAAAAGCATAATGTATACTCTGTGAAAAGGACTTCAGTTAGAGTTCCTGTGAGCTTAATTTTTAGACTTTTCTTTCCATTACTTATGTAACAATGCCATATCACTGTGTAAGATTTATTCCCTCATCAAATATCATTGAGTTAATCACATTCTAGCCATTGTGCAAAATTATTTCATACCCAACTTTACTGCACCCATGTTAATTGTACAATTTGATTTTTCAAATGTGTGTGTATGCTCATGTGACCTCTACAATCAAGGTATATGTTTCCATCCTCAAAAGTCTCATCAGCTCTCTTTGCAAGGGCATCCTTAAACACTGCTGGCTAGACTGTAGCTAGCATGAGATAACCTTTGCAGTAAACAGTTTGCCATTATTTTATAAGCCAGAACAATTGCATACTCCGTAACTCATCAATTTAACTTTAGATGTATACCCTCTCCCAGAGAAACTTTGTTCACAAGCATTGGAAAGCATGTACAAGAATGTTCCTAATAGCTAAACACTAGTAACAAACCATATTTTTATCCATAGCGAATTGAATAATCTGTGATGTGTTTACGTACAGGAACATCATATACCAGTAAAAGATAAGCTATTACTATATGTATCATATGAATGTATATTAGAAACAAAACTGAATAGGAAAATAAGCAAGTTACAGAAAACTACATGTTTTATAGTACTGTTTTTTAAAATCTATTAAAAAATAATAGTATGTTTTCAATACAAAAATATATGCAGAAAGACTAAGGAAGCAACGGAGTCAAATAGTAATTTGAGAATAGTTGTCACCTTTGGTGAGGGAAGCAGGGAGATAGGATATGGAAAGAAAATATAGTTATATGTAGTGGAAATAATACTCTGGGTTTTGGGATGGAAGTTGGCAGATGCTGTAGGGTTCCTGATGGTCCCATTTCTTGATGTGCTAGCCTGGTTTTTACCCAACAATGTCTGCATTTCATCCTTGCATGTTTTCTCTTATTGAATAGTGGATACATTTCAGGTGGGATGATTCTTAAGTATGTGTTCTGTACTGAGTCTCAGAATTTCCCAATGGGATTAAACCCAAGTTGCCCCATCGTGGTATCTTGCTAAATAATACACTTTTCCTAGAGCTGCTATTCTTGTCTTTTTTCCTACCTTCCTTCCCATGTCTCTCTTACCTTCTATTACATCACTTACAGTTAAGTCTTGTTGACATATTTGCATTTGATATAACCCAAAATAAAATGAAGTGTATTTATTTTGTGCTTCACACTTCACATGCATACTACCTTTATTCTTTATTTTATTTCTTTATTCTTTATTTTTATTTAATGCTGTGTAATACTGGATAATTTTAATTTGATAGATTTATTTTTATTTTTAAAGTGTACCAAAAATATTTTTGAAATGGCTTAATGCTTCATGTTAAGCCTACTTTAAGAGAACTTTTTCATAGCAATGGTAAATAAAACAACCAAAAATTTATGATTTCGGAAAAGGCCCAAATCAGTCCATTGTAGAGTATCCTTGGCAAATGAAAGATTTTTTGGTAAGATCACATATTAGAAATATTATTTGATTTTCTCAATGTTTAATTGTGTCATATATTTACTAAATATACATTTAAAACTTAGTTTTAATAAATAACAGATTTCAGAGATGGAGACTCAAATTATGAAATACTTAATCTTAGCACTGGCCATAGAAAAGTAGATTAAAAAAGAAAGAAAAAAAGTTCATTTCTGCTTAGCCATACTGCTTCCTGCATGACCAAAACTGACTTCTCACACACATCTCCAGGGCTTTTTAATTTTTATTTCTAAAATGCATTCATCCACTCATACTTACCTACTTAATTTATTCATTCATACACAATACACAATATTTTCTTAGCTTTTACCATGTGTCAGAGGCACTGTTACTGAGCCTGCGGAGGTGAATAAATAAAAAATCTTTTGCCTTCATGGTATTTATATTCCAATAAGGGGAGAGAAACAATAAAAAGATTGTATTCTGTTGTATATTTTAAAGAGGAATGAAATAAAAAGGGAAAGGAGGAGTTAATTCAGAACTTTTCCTGTGGATGGAACATATTCATTGGCACTGAAGTGGGAATAGTTCTTGAAACAGCGAGGAAGCCAGATCAACTCCAATAGAATGAGCAGGATGAAAATAACAGGAGCTGAGGTTGAAGTGAGAGAGTGCAAATTATGATGCCTTTGTGGTGATTTAAGGTTTTATCCTTAATAAGATGGATCATTTTTTTCTGTTGTGTTATAAAGGAAACATTTTCACTATTTTTGACTCTTTATTTCACGGTAGTCTTTGTTTATACATTTAAACTAACTCTTTTAAGAAATTAACCATTTTAATTCACTTGTTCTAAAATTTTCCTTTCAGATTGTTTTGCTACTATATTGCACATGTTCTGATGGCTCATTTTTAATTTCTATTGACTTCTTACTCTTAAGAGATTGATAAATCTACTTACTATTTTTGTTAACTTTTTAAATATAATCTCCAGGATTTTCTGTGCACACAGTCATATGAAAAGATAGTTTTACTTCTTCCTTTCCAATTTTTATGTATTTTATTCTTGCTCTTGATTTAGTACATTGAATAGCCAGGCAATGTTGAGTAAAAATGACCAGAGTGGTTGTTTTTTAATAGAAAAATAACAAGTGTTGCAGGTTATGTAAATTATATAATACATTTGTTCACTTGCTTTAAAATATATATATATATGTGTGTATATATGTTTGTGTATATATGCTTTTTATTACCAACTGACTAAAATCCTGTCATTGTTTTTCTTGCTTCAGGTAATTGACTTGGGTTCTGGTAAAGGCTACCTAAGCTCATTTTTGTCCTTGAAATATGGCTTAAATGTTTATGGAATTGATTCCTCAAATACCAATACTCGTGGGGCTGAGGAGAGGAACCGGAAACTAAAGAAACATTGGAAACTCTACCATACTCAATCTAAAGTAGATGTCAATGGCCTGGCATTAAAAATGACAAAAGAAAGAAAAGTGCAGAATGAAATGAAATATAAAACAGATACTGAGCAAGTGTATAACAATAGTCCTGCAAAGCAAGAAAAGATGCCTACTTCAGATTTTTTGCCAGATTTTTCAAGCTCTGTAATTTCTGACATTAGAATACAAGTGGAAAACCTACATACGCAACCATATGAAGAAGAAAATTTGTGTTTTGTAAATACCTTTTCTCTCATAGACTTTTTGCCTATTGATGCCATAGAGCCTATTTCGTCATCACAGATATCTAACAGAGAAATGTCTGAAGTAAATAAAGGGAGAAGAAAAATGACATCACAGTCAAGTGAATCAAATATATATTCACCATTAACTTCTTTTATCACTGCTGATTCAGACCTACATGACATTATTAAAGATCTGGAGGTGATTTCACTTTGATTCATTTGATACAAAATGCTATAAACAGAATTTAATTTGATAGGTGACTTAACATACTAATACTAGCATTAATCTAAAAAACCAAGAAAATAAAATAGTAAGCATATTTTCATTATACCTACACCTGCCAAAAATTTAAGAAAAACGTATTTCCATAGAGTACCTACTACTCATTTCAGTTCTCCTAAATCTCATAGAACTGACAAAAAGCTAGTTGGTAAGCTGAGTTTTCTACCCCAGTACACAGATTGTTAAAATTATAATTCAAGAAAAATCTTACGTATGTCATGTTTTTTAGCTGACACATAATTATACATCTTTATAGGGGACAACATGATGCTTTTGTACATGTATACATTTTATAAAGATCCAGTGAAGGTAGTTGGCATACATAACATCTCCAATATTTATCATTTTGTTTTGTGTGAGAACATATATTTATAGCAAAGAGGTACTTAGTACAAAATTATGTTTGTTAGATATGGTGATCAAATATGCATTTGGAATGGAAATATGTAATTTCCTTGAGCAAGAGTAGTTTCTAGGTTTTCTTTAAAGTTGGAACATTTTTTTAAATTTCAAGTTTGTCAAATTAGGTAATTGAAAGAAAACAGATCTTAAAGGCAATGTCATTTGTTAAAACAAGGTTATAGAGAAGTTTCTAGAGTTCATTTGTCTTAACTCTTTTCAAAAACAAGGTAGTTTTTGGAGTTGCATATTCTACCATGTTAAATTTTTAAGAAACTCTTACCCAGAGAAATGAGTAAATGAGATACCAGAGTTCTTTATAAATTTAAATTCTTGTTTAGTAACTGGCCAGTATTTTGACATTTTGTAAATGAGTAATTTTTCTTTCCCCCAATATTTTTAGAAGTCACTAGTTAAAGGAAATTAGTTAATTTTTATGAACTGATGTTCTTATATATTAAAATAGTAATTAGGTTATTCTTTCTCATAGGCTTAAACAAATTCTATGAATTTAACCTTATTTTTGAAAGTATAAAAATCTAGTGCATATTGTCACTTTTTAAGTTTTTAAAAATCTTATTGGAAGTATATGATCAGAACTATGCAAACACGAAAATCATCTAAAATAAGGCAAGGTAGAATAATGTTTTTTGAGTCCTACAGTGTGAGCCAGCAATTTAATAACCAAAATTCACTATTATTTCCCAGTCTCCCTCCCCCTCCTCCAAATAATACTTAAATATTTTACTCTTAGGATAATATAGTGTTTATATATCTTTGTCCCCTAGCTGCTCTTTGCTAATACTATGAACTTTATATGATGAATACATTCAAAGATGAATTTAAATCTTCTTAGAGAACATTATCTTTAGGGAAAGCTCAACTAGGCTTACAGAGAGAATTTTTTGCCCCTTATTCTCTTAATTGACAATAAACTTTTGGTGTCTGAACTTTTTAAAATTTATAACATTGTAGCACCTAAATAAAACCTAGCTAAGTTATCTAATCATCAGGAAACACAAAATGGTTCCAAAGCACTCCAAGAACTGTGCTTTGAAGAGCAGTGGCTGATGTAACTGAATATTCTATCAGCTGAGCATTCCATCAGGTCATCAGGTATTTCTGAATAGTTATAAAAATATACTTGAGTCACAAATTAAATTTCTGTTACTTTGAATTTATAACATAGAGTAAATAATAGTGATGGAAAAAACAGAAAACATCTAAATGTTGTTGTATGACAGAGATGATATTAAGTCATTTACGGAACTTACTAGTCATGCCACAGTGCACTAAGATGAGATGCTGTTTTCATTGCCACTCTATAGAGCAGAAAACTAAGACACTGAACAGTTAAAACAGATTTGCCAAATCACATTTATAACTGAACTGGAATTTAAACCCTGACTAATTTCTAAGACTATGCTATTAATGATTATAATATAATTTATGTAGTTAGGCTTAGTGGTAATTAGTTGATGACAGCTGTTAAACATCAGTGTTTATACACTTAAAATTAATTGTTGATATAAAGGGATTAAGCTGCTGGACAAGTATTTCTTTAGATAACAGAAGTGATTTTTCTTTTTTTTTGTCTTCTTGAGACAGGGTTTCACTATGCCATTCAGGCTGGCCTTGAACTCACTTTGTAGCCCAGGCTTGCAGTGATCCTCCTGCCTCAGCCTCTCCTGAGTGCTGAGATTACAGGCATGAGCCACCACACCCGGCCTGATTTTTTTTAAGCGTATTTTTAAAAAGTTTTTTAATTTTTAAAAAATTGAATTAGAAATTGATTGTGTGTATATATAGGTTGCAGATCTTCACTGATACTATTATAACCTGTGAATTATCTGGGCTCAGCGTGTTATCTGAAAATTGAGAGGGTAATAAAAGTTCTCCAAAACTCTTTGTTCCAAATGGTAGTAGTATGTTCTAATACAAAATGTATTTCCTGAATAAAAACTTCTTTTTGCTCCTTTCATTAAATTTCTGAGTCATGTCAAAGGCAGGTATTAAATTCAACTTTCTAAATATTTAGTAATCCATTACTCATTTCTGTGTATACATTTAAATTAGGTTTGGGATGATTAAAGGAAATATTTCATAGGAAAATTTTTAAATTCATGTTATAAAATTTAGAACACAAATGTTGAATTTCATATTGCCATATTTGATAGTGAATAAACTTTTTGACATTACAGTAAAAATGCCCACTTTGCATAACTTGTATTTGCTTTTAATAGCAATGCTTTTAAAGTTTTTTAAATTTCAGCCTCTGAAAAAGTTTAATCAATAAAATTGGCTGGTACAAAGTATGATATAAATGTATTTCATATAACAAGTTTGTCTTAGTAATGCATGCTACATTTGCATAATCCAGTCTTTTTTTGTCTAGCTGTTAAGCAAATGTTAATTGTAAAAGATTAGAGAAAATACAAATAATACATAACCAAAAGCACTGAAAAAAGCTCAAAAGTTATGATATCACAAACATTTCACTTAAAAAGGCAACAATTATTATGAAAATATGAAATAATATTTATCCTGAAAATAAAATTTCTAGGTAGAATTTGATAATTATAAAAAATTCACATATTTGAATTAATATTTAAAATCTTTACCTGAATTGTTTTTTAACCTTTCTTTTAATGGCCAAAATTTATATTTGTTCTTGTCTTTAAAGGATTGTTTAATGGTGGGCCTACATACTTGTGGTGATCTTGCTCCAAATACTCTGAGAATATTTACTTCCAAGTCTGAAATCAAGGGAGTGTGCAGTGTGGGTTGTTGCTACCACCTCTTATCTGAAGAGTTTGAAGATGAGCATAAAGGTACAGAGTTCTCCATGTGTCATCATTTTTACTTATCTGAAAAATGACTCTTGTTTCTCTCGTTCATTATCATGGTTTGAAGTAAAATGTAGAGATAGCATCTGAATTTCTTGCAAGTCTTGTGCTACAATGTTACGGAAATTTGATGCAGCATCATTTTATGTTTTATTGTACTTTGGTCAAAAATAGTTTGCTGAACAGTTTGCAAATATTTGAAATTTTTATGTAATGTATATTTTAGAGAACTTTCATTTTAAAAAAATACTCATACTTTTAATGAAATAGTAGTTATTTTGTCATGAATATAGAGTTTCAAAGTTTGGTTTCATCTCCAAAGCTTTCTCTGTTTCTGAATGAATATTGCTATTTCTAGAAAAAAAAATTAATGCAAGAGTCACCATACTAGAATTTTAGAAAACTGCGAGGCTGGGATTGCGTTAAAATAACAGTATTGTACCTGTGCTCCCAGACTCAGAAGGTGCTTGCAAAACAAAAATACAAGGTAGGTTGGCAGGGATTTTAAGCACCCTACAACCCTTTGTCCAGGCTAGTTCCTGAAATAACCTCTGTGTGGTGTATTGTATGTGTTACATCTTTCCATAAGACATAATTTCAAAGCTGCAGGTTCAGATTACATAGTTATTTAATCTATTAATATTAGCAGTTCTTTTTTACAGTAGTTTAATAATGTCTTTTATCAATCTTCAGTGTTCCTTGCTAAGAATTTTTAGGTCAGAAAGTTGTATACATAGGATGGTATTAGTTTTTATTTTTCTCAGTATTAAAACTCAGATGGATATGAAATTTTGCTTATTTTTCACTTGGTTATGTCTAAGAAATAAAATTTATAATTGTATAATTATACTGAAATGAATCTAGGTGAAAGAAAATCCATCTTTAGAACTGGTAAAGATTTTTGTGAGTTAATCAAATTAGAATTATTTTGTCAGGATTTTGAGATAGATCTTAGAAGAAAGGTACATAAAAGTAAAGTTAGGAATATATAGAAATAGAATGAGAAAAAATTGACAAAAATTTAACAGTACACTAGTTTAATTTAGAGTGAATGCTTGTCATATGAAGTACAGAAATTTTAAGGTAAAAATTAGGGAAAAAAGTGAACTTAAAAATAGAAAAAAGTACTTATACTAAATTATATAAATATTTATAGTATCTTACAGTAATTTATATATCTTTCCTTAAAAAGTAAAAGGAAAAATCTTTAATGCAATCACAACTCTACAGTTTTTAAAATTTCCCTTAGTAATAGCATAAGATTTGATGTAAGGAAGCATTGGCTTTTAGGATAATTCATTCATAGTTCAAGAGCTTTATATTCTGTGCTTAAGGTGAAATGCGCTTACTAAGTGGCCCAATTAGAAACAGATGTAGATACTTGGTGTGTTTACATTTAGAAAGACCCACCACCTGCATTGTAGATCTTTACTTTCAGCCGCCTGCTTTCTTCTCTCATTTCATCATGGAAACCAGTGATGCCTCTCCTTGTGCCACACTACCTTCTTCTGGCAGTACTTTGTAATTAAGGCTGCCATCTCAGGTCCTGCTGGACCCTAGCAGCCAGTCAGACCTCGTCTCAGTGTTTCCCCACCAAGGTTTCCTCCTTTTTTGACAGAGTCCTTTATTTACTATCACAAGTTTTCTTTGACTTTCCCACCCAATCCCACTCTGGAGTGGTCCTCAGACCTGGTCCTGCTGATTTGAGATGATTTATGCTGATTTATTTTGCTGATTTATTTCCTAACTTGTATTTAAACTTTGTTGTGTTGTTGGTAGGTTATAAATAATTTTATTTCTTCTCTGTCAGATTTTCATCAAACATGTAACGAGAGTCCATTTAAGGCAAACTTCATTATTTTAAGATGACCCAGAACTATCAATAGTGCATTTTTCATCTGATACCTAGTTCTTCAATCCCATTCATAAAGAGATTGGCAGACACTGCTTGCTAGGATTGAAGAAAATTAGGACATTGAAATAGTTACTCCTTTGCTAATCCATTTTATGTCACTCTTCAGCTACCTTTTCAAATATATTATTCCATTAAACTGTTAAGAGTATTCATTGACCATATATAATTAAAATGAATTTAAATAGGACATGTTAGACAAAGAGGACTTCAGAGAGCTAAAGAGAGAAGCATGATTAGTGCACTCACATTGTCACTCCCATTTCTTTCCTGCCAAGGAAAAATTTGATGGATTGATGAGCATTTAGAGTATAGAGTAGATTTTACTCATTTTTGTATCTTCAGAATAAGCTTATTGACTTAAACATGTTTGATGTAGATGAATGTTTGTATAATGTGTGTTGAGCAAATTATTGGAAACAAGTGACAAGGAATAGAAATAAATCACTCTTCCCAGACTTGCCAGCTGCATTTCATACAGGTAAAATATTATGATTGAATTGAGCACATATTTATTGAGCAGCTATTTCAAGGCATGATATTTGGCACTTTAAGTCTGACAAAGGATAATTGGGGCAGGCACAATGAAAAGTCAGTAGTTTGGGAAAGAGATAAGAAACTCGAATGGATGATAAGCAAAGTTTGGTTCAACAAACATTTCATCAAATATCAACTGTGTTCCCCTCTATTTGAAGTGATAATAATACAACAGTGTGTGAGAGACCATGTGTACCCTCAAAGAACATTTTTTAAAAGCTTTTTAAAAAGGAAATGGATAGTACTTGCTTGTAACTTTAAAAGTTTTATGAAATCATTTAGACTAGAAAATACAAAAAACATAGAAAATATGAAAATACAAAGTCCTTATACTCTTTTTATTGGTTTCTTGTGTATCTTTCTAGAAAAAGTACATATACCTTCCCTATTCCTGTGTTTTAGAGAAACAAATATATAAACTATTCCATTACTTTTGCCACATAATATATTTAAGTGCTCTTTTCTTATCAGTACACTGAATGTTCCTTTGATCTTTTGAATGATTTCAAGGTATTTCATACAGTATATTTATACAGCCCTAAATAGTTAATATTTGTTTAAAGTGGTGGTATTCTTTGTAAACCAAATATTAGTAAACAGTCATTTCACTGTAGGTTTTATTTTTAAATTTTCTTGTTTTATAGTATAGGGGATGGAACTCAGGGAAGAGCTATACCAATGAGCTACACCCTCAGCCCCACTGTTCAATGTAGATTTTAGAGAACACCAAATGTAGTACCTATGCTTATCTTTGTTTTCTTATCTTCAAATATTTGTTTCAAAATAGTGTAATAAATGCTGTAAGATGGGGTATTATTATTTTATTTTGATAATATTTGACTTATTTATTTTTCATTTTGACTTATTAGTACATATTTGCAGTACCTAACGAGTATATTCATTGTAAGGAATTGGCACATGTATGAAACATAATTTCAGTTCCCTTCTTTGTCCTCCACTCCCCTTTTATTTTTCCAGCATCAGATTAATTTATCTTATAAGACCTTTTAAAGTTAATTATCATAGATACAAATTGAAAACGAGACTAATAGGACAATGAACATATAAAACATGTAAAACAGTTGTACTAGGATAGGATATTGTACCTGTGCCATTTTACAGAGAGGTAGCATGTAGCTGAATCTAATTAAAGGTATATTCCAGTATTTCCATACTGTGTCTTGAAAGATCAATATAATTTAATCAGACAAGGAAGTAGGAAGGATATTGCAGGCAGAATAAACAAAGACATAGAGTGGTAAGTATTTAAAGTCAAATTTCCTTCTCTTTGACTTTCCTGGTCCCTATTTTTTTTTTTTTGTAACTGTCTTTTGACCTCTTGTATTCTTCCTCATTCTCTGAAACAGTAATAATCTTTATGTTCATTTCATTGGGTAGAAAGGTATACATTTTTTAAAGCAGCTGAAACCTCCTTTGTCATTTCAGTTTACTTCATAACCTGTTTTCCCAAAGTCTCTTCTTGGCTTACTTAATTTAGTACTCAGTCATTCCATAAAATAATCTTTTAAGGTTCTCAGTAAGTCGGTTGAACCAAATAACGCCATGTTTTCGCATACTAGAAATGGAAGTCTCTGTTAATATATTCTCAGGCATTGGTTTTAGATTCTGTATGGTTAAAGGCAGTTTTACATTCTTTTTGATGTAGAAATTGCCATTGTTCATTGTGCATTGATAGAGATTTTTGGCCCCAGGATTCAATAAAAAAGAAGCAAAAAAGAAGTGTTGGGAAAGTTTGTCAGAACAAAGTGGCAGCTACAAACTCTTATGTTCCCCTTCCTATAGCCATAGTCAGTTCATGCTAGGTCCTTTCTGTCAAAGATATCTTATCCACCAAGAATCACTGATAGGATCAAATAGACAATGCTAGGCTCCAGTGAGAGAAAGCAAACAACAATGTCTTAGTGTTACTTGGCTTCCTCATATATGCCTGAAGTGAGCAGAGGATTGGGAGTTTGCTTGTCAGAAAAAGCAAAGAATATGCACGAAGAAAAAAGACTGAGTGGCAGGATGAAATGGATTGAAGAGAACATGCAACAGGAGTACCGTCCAGTATTTTAGAGGTCAAGAAAAGAGTTGGCAAGCCCAGAGATAAGAAGAAAGTGAAGAAAATAAGTGCTAGGAATAATAAAAGCAAACTTGGTTTATGTTGCAATCCTGGGCTGCCACATTTTCTCATCTCAAAAGCCAGATGGAAAAAGTAATTTCCTACCTTTTCTCTTTGTCATACTCCATTTCCATTCTTGTTACCTTATCTTTACTGTAATAAAAAAGAGAAGAAGCCCCTTTTTATAGCAAATGTTCTCAACTCTGGCTGCCCAGCTGAATCAAAGTTGTCATGATCAGTGTGCTGCCTACTGACCTTTGATCCTCAGAATTGTGATTTTTAGGTATCAGACTTGAATATATATATTTTAAAGATGCTCTATGGGTAATTCTGGTGAGTATCCTAGTTGAAAACCAAATATTTATTATGGTTATTAAGGAACATACAGAAATCTGAGGATGATTTGTAGAA